GGCTGGGGTAGGACAGAGCACTGCAAAGGAACCCCGGGAGGATAAAGAGCTTCTCATGGCAGGAGGAGCAGGGAAAGCAAAACGTGCAGGTCACAGCCCAGCACTGCAGCACTGCCACCATGTAGCCTGAGAAACCCAGGAGAGAGGACAGAACATACTTTCCCTGGAGCTGCTGCAATGAGGCTCCTCAGCATCCAAGAGCAGTGAATGGCTCCAGCAATATGGAGAGTAAAACATGATCATTAACCAGCTATGGGATATTTTGATTTTCCTTCTCAAGTTTCTACAAGTGGAGAGTTGGTGTGGCTGCTGTTTTATTAAATCTGCTTGGAGCTGGAGTTCAGAGCACAGGGAACCTGCCATTGGAAGCAATGCCTTGTCCTCCCACAGAGGTAGCTCCATGTTCTGATACATGACACAGAGATGAACTGACTTAACACAACCAAGAACCAGCTCCTCGTTTTTCTGTGCTCTTATTGCCTGGAACTTGGGAAAACCCCAAATTCCCTCATGAGGAAAGTCATCTTTTTTTTTATATTCTCTGCAGAACGAAATGATCAGACGGAGCAGGAAGAAAGAAGGGAAATCAAACAGAGACTGACAAGAAAGGTAAAAACTTGCAATACCTGCTATTAGCTTTTAGAAATTACCTAACAGAAATTCTAGAAATTAGCAAAGCTACTGTAACACCAACCAGTCATTATTACACAGAACCTCCCTTAACATACAACCTCCTCAGCAGTGTCTCATAGTGTTTAGTAACAGGGATTATAAAAATCCCTACCTTTTCTCAGCTCCATAAGACTTAGTAGAATACTTACATATAAACTGTAAGTCAGAGTATATTGGGTATATATTGCTAGAAAAGGACATTTTCATTCACTGGAGCAGTAGCTGGCAGAGCTGAGTCCCTGCTGAGCCCCAGGTGTGCTCCACTGGAACATTCCTCTTTGTGTTTGAAGTATTCCCAGAACTAGTTGTTGTTGTTCTGTTCCTGGGAATCCCTATGGGAATTGGAAACCAAACACGCCGATAACTCACTAAAGCCAAACTAAAATTCTTACAGTGGATCCAGCCATGAGAATCTCACCCAGACAATCTGCCTCTGCCTGCAGAACACCCCAACAGGATCCACTGTCATCCAGAGAACTTACCAAATCCACCAGGATTCCTTTACATTTTGCAAGTGTATTTGATTGGTAGCCAGGTTAAAATATTTTCTTTTGTCCATTCTAAAGGCATTGTGCTGCAGCCCATTTAGACCATTACTACTCTGCTAATGGTCCTCCAAATGATTAATATTCCCTGAAATTTCCAAGGATTGGGTGGTTTTCCCTCCACATAAATGCACACTAGGGTAAGAAGCAGAAAAATCGCATATTTTACTGATACCTTTGTTATTAACCCTGGTTTTATTTTTCAAAATGACTGAATACAGCTTAACCAGAGACCTACAGTCGATGAACTGAGAGACAGAAAAATCCTGATTCGATTCAGTGATTATGTGGAAGTGGCAAAGGCACAGGACTACGACAGGAGAGCAGACAAACCGTGGACACGACTCTCAGCAGCAGACAAGGTACTGCCAGAGCTAAAATCACACACAGCTGCTTTCTCCTTGCTTTGTCTGGAATGATACATCACATTCTGCAACGACATTTAACCACTGGGACATTTAATCTCTGTACAGTTCACCATTATTTTCTATGCTGAGATCACACTGACCAATGCAACCTGTCAGGAAAAATGCTATTTATAAAAATGCCTCTTTAGTGCTGGAAGGGCTTCTACCCAGCCCACCCAAAAAGGTGGATACAATCATTGGGCTCCAACTCAAAACCATTTCCAGCCAATATAACATTAATGTTTCTTCTCAGACTGGAAGTTTTGTCCCAGACACACAAATATTCTCTGCTATGTTTCTAAACATGCAAAGATTTCCTCTCCTCTTCCCTAGGAATGCTCAAGGAGTCACTTGACCCACATTCTCAGGAGCACAAACAAACACTCAGTTTGTGTCACATACCTGCCACTCACTGATTTCCATCCCAGTCGAACTGTCACACTGATGTCCTTGAGCAGTAAGAGCAGTTCAGCTCTAGATTCCAGCTGGGAGTGCTGCTGGATAAGTTGGGAGGTTTCAGGGCTGCAGGAAGCAGGAGGAGCAGGGACCTGAGATGTACTGGCAAAATGGCAAACACAGGACTGTTACTTGTGGTTTTGTTCTGAGATGTGGAGCTCAAACCCTTCAGTCTCCATCCTCAGTAAAAAAACCAAATGGGTTCAGAGGACTCATATGGAAAAGGAACAGAGCATTTCTCCTCCAGCAGCTCTTCTCCTGAGCAAAATGGTGAATATTCTACAGTAATCAATAAATAATGATTTTGTATTTTCCTTGTAGGTACTCAGCTTTTATTAAAATTAGGCTTTTCCTAGTTTCAATTATTGCTAACAAGGCAGGTTCACAAGCAAAACCAAAATGACAGTTCAACTGCATGTGCTGGTGGCTCCCATCGGGGAGTCAGGGTCAGGAGCTGGAAAAGGATCAATTGCTTGGCAGCTCCTGTTAGTCTTTAATAAATTTTAACTGGAATCTTATTAAATGTGAGACAATAAGCCCTGGGGTGTTATTCTGTCAGAAGTGCTTCTAGACAGCAGTGGCCCTGTCAGCAATCAATAATGAATGAGAAGGGTTGTGTCACCAATCCATAGAACCTAAATATTCTGTGTCTCTGCCAGCACAGTGGGCTCTGCTATACCCAATACCTGCAATTTCTACTGTAGAAAACTGTTCTGCAAGTCTGGCATTTTGCAATGCTCACAAATATAAAATTACTTTTAATATATAATTCTTTGTTTTTCTATTTTCAATCCCCAGGCAGCAATTCGGAAAGAGCTGAATGAGTACAAAAGCAATGAAATGGAGGTACATGCATCCAGCAAACATTTGACAAGGTCAGTTTTCCACCTCTTTACTTCCACTGCCTGCTAAAAACAGTCTCTTGAGTCTTGAATCTGTACATTTTATTCTTACACGATGTGGGAGAAGAATATGCAAAGGGAGCTTTGTTTTAAAAGAAAATGGAAGTATTTCTCTTCCTGTTCAGAATTTAGATTTTCTGATTTTGTTGGGGCTTTTAATAGCATGTACCCAGCAGACCTTCTCCAGAGCACCCCTCAGCCAGCATTCCTTGCACCAAAGATTCAAAAGATAGGACAAAAAATTAAATGTAGGGTAAAATGTACAAAGCAATATGAGTTTTTTGAAGCAGAAGAACAACTTAATACACTTTATAAAGGTCTCTGAATTAAATGTACTTTAGTCTGCAACATTATCACAAACACTGCAGCTTGCCTGCTAAGAAATATAAAACTACCTGCAGTAACAAACACACCTAATGCCCCTGGGTAATGCACTTGTTCTAATTGGATTTGTTCTAATGGATTCAGCCTGGGGATTTCAGGATCCCCTGTCAGGCCACTTGCTCTTGGAAGGAGTGCAACCCCCCAGGGAACTTCTTGGCAGTCAGGTGAGGACTGGAGCAGGTCAGGAGAGGGAACAAGTTTGGAGTATTGTCACCCTCTGTCGCATTCCCAGGCTTATTCCTGAACTCACAGTGAATTCCAGCTTAACTGAGCTCGGGCTGGTCAATGAGCAGATGGTCCAGGCAAACACACTTCAGCTGTAAATGCAATGTCCAATGTGATATTTATATAATTCCAGACTGTTCCTGCAATTTAAGGCCCTTTTAACATGACAGGACTCAGTGTTTAGGGCAAAAATCATCACTGCACTGATGGAATGAAACATGGGAGGGGAAAAGGGGATGGCTGCAGTGTCAGTCTCAGAGTGACACCTACATCCTCTAACTGAAGCTACCTGGGATGTTTAGGTAGATGATAATGATAGATTTGGAAATTTGTTCAGGATACTAGGAATAAACAGGCTTACAATTTACAGTTAGTGCTAAGGCATTTCAAATGACTGGAACTTTAATTGTGCATCTCAGCCTAAAGAACAAGCCTACAGAGCAAGAGGATATTTATTCCAGACTCATAATCACACATTCCACCAACAGTAGCTCCTCAGACTTTACGAAACATCAACACTGTTAGCTCTTACAAAAGAACAAAATCACCACACAATAAAGAATATTGCCACCAATGACAACCTGTGGCTTCATTTGCTAAAAGAAAAGAACCTCAAATCAACCCCACACCTGTATTTGCATTTGCACTCCCAAATTGCTGTAACTGGTTAAACTGGGCCCTGAGGATCGTCCCTGCACTACAGTCCTGGCACATGGTGAAAACGAAGACTTAGAGGTGCTGATATTCTTCAACACTGTTACTGTACCTTTAAACAGAGTGAATAGTTTTGTGGGCTTTTTAAATTTTTGTTAATCTAACAGAGAACTGAATTACCTTTTGTTTTCTGTTTCAAAGTGGTTTGATGAATGTCTCTCATCTCTCCCAGATTTCACAGGCCATAGAAATTTTCTTCTGAGAAGAATCTGTCTTTACTTTTTGATATTGCTGCTGAACACGCATCAGGGAATATCTGAGTCTTTCCCTCAAGTTCAGAGCAGGATCCCTTGGTGTTTGTGTGAAGGAAGGACTCTGAGCTGAGGTCTCTGCAGCACTTATGGACAGAGAGCCCAGGGCTGCCCCTCGCTCTGGAGGCAGGAGAGCCATGGCCTGGGATTGGGATGAGCTGCTGACAAAGACTGAAGCAAAGCTACTTGGAAGAGCCTCCTACTCTCACACTTGTTTGGAACTGTTTTGCAGCCTGTCTTGGAAGAGGAGATGTTGTGCATGTACAGGCTTTACCATTCCAAGGCCTCTGACATAAATGGACATGACACACTGTCATCCAGTATTATGTTGACGAGACATTTTGAACTTGCCACAATTAGTTTGTAAAACACTTCAGTTCATGTTCTAAAAACTAATTTAATGTATTATAATTTCATTCTTTTTTATATAATGTCTAACAGAATCACAGCTGCAAGCATTTTTGATTCCTGTTACTTTTGTTCTTTAATTAAATGACTACTTATTGCAGGAAATGACCATGTTTCCTAAAGCTCTTTTTTTCCCAGGGACAGTTGGGAAGGGAAGAGATTATAATTATTCTGCACCAGACCATTGCACTTCTTCATCAACATGAAGTCTGCAAAAAGAAGATCCCAACTAAGGTTTTTCCATCTCATGGAATAGCAGAACCTGATTGTCATCCTCCACTACTTGAGGCTCTGACCCTCTAAAGAATGACAATTAAGTTCACTGTTATTCTCATTCAAAAAGACTAAATTGGACAAGCACAGCTAGAAATGTAACAATGTACTTTGATATTTAGCAAACAAATGATTTTAATGCCTTCTTGACAGTAAGAAGAAAAAAGTTACTAAGTGCTAATAACAAAGCAGATAGAACTGGCTGAGAAAAATGTAAAGCCAGACATTCTAATAATGCCTGACATGGAGGAGCATCTGAGAATCTACTCAAATTACTACTAAAAAACAAAACACAGACAGCTGGAAAACACACCTGAGACAAGAACAAAATGGTGAATACACTCCCAAACATTTCTCTGCAAGACTCTTCAGTGCTATAACTTTAGGGAGTCTTTCGGTGTTAAAAACTTGAGAAAGGCATTCTTGGTCTTGTAGCTTCACTGAGCTCATTCCATGGAGTGTGACAACAATAAAATCCAGTGGTTCAAATGGCTGGCACAGACTGAGTTGCTGCAGGTGGGGAACAGTCAGCACCCAGAGCCAGGTCTGTGTGCTCAGGGTGGGGATGGACTCACACACCCAGTCCTGCTCCTGGAGAAGGGCAGGTCAGAGCACAGCAACACTTCACTGTGTGTCCCCAAGGCAACGGGAGGGAACTGAGGACTCCTGGCACAGGTGCTGGCCAGGATGGGTGACACTGGCTGGCTTTGTTGGAGCTGGCTGTTGCTTTGTCCAACATTTTCATGTTTGACCTGTCTGACTGTCATTTGAAGACCTGACTGACCCAACTACTTGATCCAAAGATGTATTTTTTCCCCTTTAGTGCAATTTTTTAACTTGCTGGATTTTCACAGAAATATGCATCATTAACTAGCTTTTTAACTTACTACTATATTTATCCATCATTTTAATTTGATTATTAATACAATAGTATTAATTCTTAAGAACAATATAGTGAGAGTTCAGATGCAATATACATAAAGGCTGAACAGAAAGGAGAGAAAAGTTTCTTCAGCAGAGGCATTTTTAGTGCGAGAATAGCAGATGAGCCACTGGTAACTACAAACTAAACTTGGCTTATAGTCCATGAAAGTAACAATCCATACTTCCATTGCTAATAAATGCTGTATAAAACACATTAAAGTGATGTTGGAAAATAAAATAAAGATCAAATATTATAAGGGTAACTTAGAGCAGCTGTTTAAATGCCAAACAGTGCCTGTGAGCTTTGTCACTGATGCAACTCAACCACGTTGGAGCTGTGCAGGGACAGCTTCGCTCCTTCCCCTGCTCTCTGCTGTCCTTCCAGCACGTCCTTCCAGCACAACCAGCCCAGCCTTTGCTCTGCTCCTGTGGAGACAGAATTCCAGAGTCACACTTGATCCCACTGATCTCCTGCTGACACTCTGCTTGCTGCTGGCAAGTCTGTGGGGATGTTTGGACACTGCCTGCACTCCCTGGGCCATGGACTGGGCTTGGGAACTAGGATGGCACCATGGAAGGCAGGTGTGGCTCAGGGAGGCTCTCCTTGTGCAGCTCCTTCCCAATGGAAAAGGCAAACAGGCCTGCAGTGCCCAATTCCTGTCCCTAACTAAAAATAAGGCATTTGTATTATTTTTCCAACGTACCCTCATTGTAAGAGATAATTTGGACCTTCCAGTGCACTTTTAAAAACCTTGTACAATTCAGAGAAAACTCGAATTTCATGCAGATGAAATTCAATTAGACCAGTGGAAAGTTTACCAGCTCAGGAGGTCCATCTAGTGGAGAACACACTGAGTACAGGCCAAAAAACCCCCAAACCACACAAAACTGAGGCTCAGACGAGCAAAGCATTAGTACACTTACATAGGTGGGATGAGCAGACCCAATTATTTACTGGCAATTTCAATATAATGATTTCCAGACACAACATGGCCTTGTGTTTTTAAAATTCTTACACAAAATATTTGTGCAGCAGCTTTATCTGACTGACATGCCAATGCATATTATTGATTTGAAGCAAAACAGCAATGACATCATCGTGGGGAAAAAAAAACAAAACAGACAATATGTATTTTTCTGGACTTGTTTAATACAACTATTTGCAACATAGTTCAAACACAAGTGTTTAGAGTGTTGTTTTGTCTCAGAAACTCCTGCTGAAGTCTAATACCACAAACAAGACTGAGATCAAACCAGGTGACTCGATCCCTAAATAATTTCTGACTCCATTCTGGATCAGACAAAGTGGGTCTTCTGTACATACAGACCCAAAACAAAGATTCAAAGTGAAATTCAATGTGACTTCTCTGGCAGTCATTTAAATAACCTATACAAATTGTTAAAGACATATAAGTAGCACGTGCTAAAATAAAGTTACATATTACTTTTTTAGCAGATTCAGTAAAATAATCCCAAATCTCACAGGTAAGTGGAGAAGTTTGGTCGGCAAAGATTTTAATATTAATAAGGAAAATATGGTTTCATTACACCAGTTTCCTTGAGTGGAAAAAAAAAAAAAAGTCAAATTTTCCATTATAAAAGAGTGTTTATATTCACCTTGAAGTTCAGGAAGGAATCTGAAAACTATCCCCTCAGAATTCAGTCTTTGATCGAAACAGGGTCTGCAATCCTCTGCGAACATTGCACAGCTCCTCTTCTTGCTGGGCAAAAAACATCACACTTACCACATGCTTTTGAAAAAAGGAAGGTTTTATTTAACATGTTGTACTCCTGGTGCACAGAATGTGCTGCTTTTAACAGATCAAATAGGATACCTTTCCACATATTAAGACTCAGAACCAAACCAGTACATTCACGTCTACCTGTGGCTTTTATCACCCGGGTAAGGTCTAAAGTGCAACATGTCAGTGATACTTGGATTTAAAATCTTAGTAATTTAGTGTTCAAACAGCAAAAAATAAATAAAAACGAGTGCAAGATGACTTCATTTACCATTTCTTTTAGAAGTTTCTCTTGGATTCCTTTTATGTCTTCTTTCATCAGATGCATCTGCAAAAAAGATCCTGAATGCATCTCCTCTGCTCATAACTGGTGACACATTTTCAAGTAAACAATTACATCCCTAAATGTTTTATAACTAAGAGACAGAGATCCACATGCATCCACCTGCCTATGGAAAGGGATGTGTGTTTTAAATTTGTTCTTTCTGGGATGAATAACATAAATATTCATAAATAAAATAAACAAAGCCATGGAATCCAGAATAAATCTTGGTTAACTGCACACGTTTTCTAATGGGTGAAATCCTGGCCTAAAACAGTGAATATTGTTAAATTAAGGGCATTTTATGAGAACTAAAACCTAAAAAAAAAGTATCATCAATACAATGCTAAGGATAAAGTCCTTCTTCAGAAAAAAAAGTCAGTACTGGTATCTGTTGGTGCAATTGAAGAATTATTAAACCAAGAGTGAAACAAAAGCTCCTCATACAAAACAGAAGTTCCTCCTACCTCTGAAGTAAAAATACGTTCTTCATAGTCAACAGAATGGTAGATATTCTTTTCAAATGAACTTTTAAGAACCTGAATTCTAAAGAAACAAAAGACAGTTCAAACAGTTTTGCTAGGTATAAACTTCCCACACAGACCACAAACAGGCCCCATTATTTGTAATCTGTTTGTACTTTAAAGTGTGGATAAATATCATCATCATTGCTGGAACAGTCCCTCAGGTGTGTGGAGAAATTTAGATGGAGAATCATTACATTTTTCCTGTAATCTAATATTTTAATCTAATTTTCTCATCTCATGTACCATCTCTATTTAATGGAAGAAACTGCACAAGGAATATCAGTTGGCCTGACTTGTACCTCAAATGAACAGCCCACAAACCTCATCCCAGAACTGACAGAGCCCACTAACCTCTGCTGCTCATTTTTCATGTAAGTACTCAAAGTACTAGTCTGTTTTTTCCAAAAGGTCTGGAAAGAAGAAATATTAACAGATGCTGATCAATAGGAACTGATTTTCCAAGCCCAAACTGACCAATATCTCATATGAACAAACTAACTCACAACCACAGACTCAGCAGTTACACAGGATTTACACAGTCCCCACAGAAGCTGGAAAACCAGCCCAATAAAGTATTAGTAATAGTTTATCCTAGGAGGAAAAACACATAGGAATTCATATAGTGAATATATTTAGGAAAAACATGTAGTGACCAAGGAATTCTCAGAGCATTGGCCAATCCCAACACCTCAAATTCACTGTTTGACATTTCACTCAACTTGAAGCAAAATGAGAAAGGCTTTTAAAATCAAAATTAATAATCTAAAGTTAAAGATGACATGAACAATCTATGGATCCCATAAGAATTCACTTTTCCCCACGATCCAGCCGTTTAAATACAAACCGAGAATTCTTTTTCCATGTTTTTCAGGGACTGAGAATCCTTTTCAAAATTCTCCAGTTCCTCAATGAGAGTAAAATGAAATTTGTCCAGCTGCCTGATCCTACCAAAACAAACCAGGTTACTTTCAGAAGGTATTCCTTGCATTTGAAGGATGTTTTAAAGTCCATCTGCCATTACTGACCTGCATTCATGGAGTTGGTAACTCATTGTTGTCAAATGCTGATGGGCAGCTTTCAATGTTTGCTTATTAAAATGATCCATTTTCCGGGAGCGGCTCTGTGAGGGTGTTAGAACATTAAATTCAGATTATTTTCACTTCAGGGAAAAAACTGTAATATGTTTAGTATTCTAATTGCTTAATATCACATTTTTTAAGATGGTCCCCCCGTCCTTTGGGGAAAAGCTTTCTCTTAGTGACATATAAATACACTTGAGGTTATGCTTTTGATGAAATTCTACCTAATATAAGTAAAGGTGCATTATTTGGAAAATATACCCCTTCAAAATAGAGAAAGTACACATGGAATGAAAAATAAAACAGACATGGGAGAGAAGGTCTTTGCAGAGTTTAGTACATAAAGGAACTGAAAGAGGCTTAAAAGGAAACATGAATTCTGTCATCTCCTGACATTCTGTGCACTTGGCTTAAAGGGACACGAAAACCCAACTCTGTGGTGGAAGCCAAGCTACCCCCCACATGCACATGTACCCCCAGCTGACACTGCATAGGAAGGGTCTTGCCTCAATCTTCTTGGTAAATTCTTTTTGGAGCTTCTGACATATGCTGAGAGTTGAACAACCAGGTTCCCAGAATTGCCCGTCCAGAGCAGAGAGCTCATTGAGGGATCGAGTGGAGATGCTCTCAGACACTGCAGGGAGGTACAAAAGGAGAAGGTCAAATTCAGGAGGACAAAGCACCTCCCCAGAGTTAGCACAGGGCCTAGGGCAGCTTCTACTACAATCAATTCATTTCACCAGTGAGATAGCCAAAACCACTCTCTATTTTCATATACGTTTTCTGTCTTTTTATATGGCTACAATCTCTAAATATTCAGCATTTCTATTTCTTTTCTTTGACATGTAAAATGATTTTCCTAGGATATTACATTTCCCTGTTAAAGCTTTGTCACATTATTTTAAACTCTTGCACAACTGTATTCAACTGTCACTCCATGACCAACCTCTGTAAGTAGCAGCATCATTTGTTTTAAATAACTTTTTGGGCTTTAAACTGATTCTTCTCCTTCCTGTCTTTTCCTCCTCTTTGCTGGTCCGTGCCTCATCAGAGCTGCTCTCTGTGTCACTGTGGTATCTTCGTTTCAGGAAGGTCTGCACAGTTGGTCCTTCAATCAACATGAGAACAAGGCTTAATTTTAGGTTTATTTAAAACAATGAGATGGGAGGACAAAGAGGATTTTATTCACCTGTTGGATCCAAACTCTTGGAATATGTGTCTTGGCTTTAAGATATGAGAATGATATAAAACAAAAAGATTTCCATGGAACACAGAACTCTGACTAATAAGCAAGTCTGGCATCATTTCCTGACAATACCATTATCCCCAGTTTTTTTCCCCAGTATCAGTGGGAATGCTTCTAACTGTTTCTTGGGAGCACAACTAATTCTTCACTGGAGCTGCATTTTGGAGCCTAATTTTCAGCTTTGTTTGGGGATAATTAAATGAGAGAAAATTAAAAAAGGGTTAAAAATAGAATGAGACTGAAAATATATAAAATATAACAATTTGACCATATTTTTATGCCAAATAAAACATTTTTCTTAACCTTTATTGAGACAGAAAGTATTTTGCTTTAATTAAATGTTTGTACCTGACTCATTTACAGGGTCATAAGGGTCTTCAGTTGAAGACTGTGCTTTACTCCCACTGGAAGCAGACAGTGGAGATGGTGGTTCACAACCCTAAAGAAAAGCCACTGATTTATTAGCTTCCAAATGACATCACTTTATAAGTCTCCATCAAAAATGCATATTTATGTGCTGAAAAATCATATATTTTCTTTGAAAGTCACTCCCTGTCATTTTTTAAAATATGAATTATAACTGATCTTGTTGGGATACAATTCTTTCATATGATAAACAATAAATTGTATCCATATGATAAATCATAAAAATATGATATTTATCTCAAATATTAAAAAAATAACTACTAGAATTTTCCAAGCAGGCCCCAAGTAGACATTATACAGTGTTTAATATTGAGAGAGATGCATTGCCCTTAAAGCTCCCCACTGTAAAGGAGGTGAAATGGGTAAGCTGGAGCTCACTTCTGCAGAGCAAAGAATGCATTAACTTACCTCTTTACTTTTAGTGACAGCTTTAGTGGTGTCTTGTAGTTTTCCTTTAACAGAAAGTGTGTCTGAAAAGCAAAACTGGAAACTTGGATCTTCATTATTATTCCTTGTCTCTGACACAGCTCCCTTTGCATGTTTTCCACTCTCAGGTTTATATGTCGTTGAGCTGAGCTACACAGTAACCAAAAACAATCATTATTGAGAGATGTCCCTTAAAAATCACCAGCTGGAAAGTAGATCAAACAGACAAAAAGCAAAGAATTTAGTACCATACCTCTTCTCTGCTTTTGGTGACAGTTTTAGTGGTATCTTTTGGTTTTCCTTTAACAGGAATTGTGTCCGAAAAGCAACGCTGGAAACTTGACCCTTCGTTACTGTTACAGGTTTCCAATCCAGCTCCCTTGGAATTTTTCCCACTGACAGTTTTATATGTTGTTAGGCTGAGCTACACATTAAAAAAAAAAAACCCAAAACAACTGTTGAAGGGAGATGTAGAGAAGCACAAGCCAGCTGGCAGCTGAATGGAACAACTTCAGCTAAAAGGATTGAGAGAAATGTTACCATTCTTACCAAAGATGCTTCTGTCAACACTGGGGAGAAACTTTTCTTTCCAAAGGTTGACTTTGTAGCTGTTGCCTCAGGGGACTGATTGACACATATACTGTGAATATTCTTATTTTGGGGACAGAAATTATTGGGAGTGATTCCTTTCTCAGAATTTAACATCTCCCTGTTTTCTGGGGATGACTCCCGAAGACCAAGAGATCTTTCACTGGAAGTGTGCTCTGGAGTGACATTTCCTTCTGAGAGTCCTTCAGCACCTAGAAAACAATTCCTTCACTGTCAGCATGAGGAATGGAAGTTAAAAAAGGCAAGCCAAAGGCCCAAACTGCTCACTGTTCCAGCTCTAGGTGTCTCCAAGTCTCAGATGTGTGCAATTTTACTTCAAGTGCTGGCACAGGACTTGCCACACTTCCCTCTTTGCACTCTCCCACTGTTTTAGCAGTTCCCAGATTCATTCCAACACTTACACATTGCTTTTCGAGGTTATGCTGGTGACAAATAACTTCACCAACCTATAAAAGTGTCAGTGCCACATTAACACACTTCCTTAAGTTATGTGGGACACCCTGAGTTGGGGGATCTCTCTTATGTTAAAAGCATGAAATAAATGTAAAATTGTACTGCTGTGCTAATCCTCAATTAACCTCCAACTTTTGCCTCTGTATTGCTGGAAATTCCAAGTCCAAATACCTACATCTCATTGTCTCCAGAGATGCAGGACTCTCAGCTGAAGGCACCTCCATTTCCTTCTGTTCTGCAGGATTCTTGGATTTCTCAGGTGGTTTCTGCACACAGTTCTCTCCTCTCTTTGGCTCCACAGATAAAACCTGGGGTGCTTTTTGCTGCTTATAATCCTTGATTGCCCCATTCATAGGTTTCTATTCCAATACAAGTGTTGTAGAAACATTTTTGCAAACATGGGGAAGTGCACAAAAAAGGAGACAAAGAGCATGTTATCTCTGAGATCAAACAGAAGGAACATCATTAGCAGGACTTAAATCCATAAGGATATCAGGTGTTCTAATATCAATAAACATTGAATTTGTTCAACTGGACACATGCATTTCTATTAATTTTAACTTGCTCATGTTGGGCACTTAAAATTCAGGAGTACCAAGTACACAAACAGAGCAGAGTTAATTTTGAAAAGTATGGCAGAAGTGGATTTTTAATAATGCAGTGCAACTGCATACCTGCATTTTTGATTTCTCCTCCTTGGAGGTGCATGGAGGAATTTCCCCCTCACTCTCTGACTCAGAACTGGAAGGCTCTTTGTAATTTTTTGCTGCTGCTGCTCTTCGAGGTAGTTTCTTTCTGGAGGTTTGTTCTGTCATTTCAGCAGTTCTTGAGTTCTGTTTTTTACATTTGTTTACCTTTGGAAGAATAAAACCACCTTCAGTTCATAAGAATGATCAATAAATCAATATACAAAAAAAAGGTAGATACTGGATTTCAAGTAATTAAACCAAGTTATTTCAAAACAGCTAAAAAAGTTTAACTTTACCAAAGCTCAGAGAATTTAACCATCAGTCTACTAACAAAAGCATCAATGTATAATAGTCATTCTAACTCACAGTATTATGCCTGAAATACCAACTAAATACTACATAAAAAGAAAACAGTACCTGAAAAGAATACACAGTATTTAACAAATTATTTGGAAATAAGCATGAAGAAATGTCACATATTTATGAAAAGTTACTTTAAAACAGTTTCTGTGGGTAGTGAAGAGATTTTGAATATACATTACAATTCTAGGTGCAAACTTACATCTGCCTTTTTCTTTTTTGCATTTTTGCCTTTAGGTTTCTCCATGTGGAAAGCAGGTTCAGGGGATTCATCTGGTGTTACAACACAGTCTGAAAAATCAGTATAATGCTCAAATGTTTGCCATTAGGTTTAGCTGTAAATAACAGAAGCACTTTCATGCCCACAAACTTACTGACTCAGGAACTGCTTTCAGCCTATTATTTTAAAAAGCCTTTTTTTTTAGTTGACAACAACTTCCACCTGTCCCATCCTCCAACCCTTTTCCACAATAAAATACAGACTTTATGTAAATCAACCTTTATAAATGACTAGAACTGATTTGAAAATTCCTTGGAAACAAGACAACAGAAACATCTGATATCTGCAACAGAGCACATGACATGGTGTGCAGTCAGTACCTAAGGACAAACTTCTTGCAGCACTCTTCAGAAATATGAAAAAAGTTTCTTACTTTTGTCTGTGTTTATTGGTTTCCCTAATTTTTTATTTCTACTGTAACCGACTATCTGGGGTTTAGGTTTCCTCTTGGATTCCTGCAGCCAACTAATCTCTGTCTTGCTGTCATCCCCTCTGTTCTCTGTGTCTGAGTCACTGAAGAGGTGCTTCTTGTCTTGATTGTTTCTAGCCTACAAAACCCAAAAAAGTTCTCAAGTTATTGATTTATTTTTATACACATTCTTCTTCCATAACTGGTATTTAAAGGCAGGCAGACAAGCTATACTGAGCCACAAAAATCTGAACCTTACTTGTTTTGTTCCTTTCACTTCAGTGCTGGATTTACAGATGACTGCATTCCTTAAGTAAAAAAATAAAAACCACCTTTAAGGATACATTTAAAAATATTTGCTGTAAAACTTTCTGCTATTCAGGTGATATGTGGATTAAGGATTCAAACAAATGCACTTACTTTTGTTTTCACATTATTTTGGAAATACCTGTTCACCTCAAACCCTAAAGGATGGGCTTATTTCCCAAGGATCAGTGAGAGCACACAGTAACAATGCAGCCCTGGGCAGGCTGAACATGAACAAAAAAACACCCCCTCTAATCAGGAGTTTCTGTCCCTGTAGTATTCCCTGAGGAGAACTGTTCTCCCCATGGAACACATTCCCTGGAATTCTGTAACAGGATGCTGGAGAGTGCAGACAGTACTATTGATAATCAGCAGACCAGGATGCAACAGAACATCCTACCCTTTTTTAGTTGTCTCTGTATGAACACTCAGTTCAGTAACATGCAATTCTTGGACCTAAAAATAGAAATAAGTGAAGAACAAACCAAGGTTTTCATTTGTTATACAATCTGAACAAAATTCAACAGCTAAAGGCTCCTTTTCCTCAGTTATTACACTAAGTAATTAACGGTCATTAATTTCTATCTTAGAATTCATTTAGCAGAGCTGATAGTTTAAAACCAGCTGGAACTGAGAGAAGCTTTCAGTGTCTCAAACCAATCCCACCACTTGCTTCACCACCTTCCCCAACTCAGAAGGCTCCTCTGAGCTTAAGAAGCAAAACTATCTTTTGTTGTCTTCTGTTTTTATCATCACTAGATTCTCTCTTTACTCAAACATCTGGACAAAGATGTTCTTTAAACGGGGATTGGAAGGATGGCAATAACATTTTTGGGATAATAGAATATAGAATATTTTAAAATAATGATACCCCCATGCAAACTGTTTAATTCTTAATTCAGGAAAAACTTCCTAACAGCTCGAAGTGGCCAGAACCTTAGGACAGTTATACATTTACACATGATCTATTTGAGAGTGCTGGAGGCATTTACATGGCAAACTTCTTTCCCCACTTAGTTCACTGATATAATTTGAATGTTCAGATCTTAACTATCCTTCCAGCAAACAAAATTTGACTGATTTCCTTTATATTCTAATGATAAAATACAGGATTCAGTTATATGCTTACTCCAAGCTTTATTGTAGGCTCATCAAACCCACTGAGTTTAAAGTTGTAGACATCATCCCTGCAAACAGACACAGAGAGCAATTTTGTGGCTGAATTAATGAACATTTCACAGAGTCAGGTATGGGCAATCAGAAATTGTGCTTGAAAATGTTCTAACTACTTACATGATATGACCAGCAGTTATATTAAGAAAAGAAGTGGTTTTCAGGATTCTGTCCTGAACTTCTTCCTATACAGAAATGAAAAGTTGGCTCACATGGCAAATTTGGACTGTGCATTCAGAAACCCTGTCATCTCAAAAAGCAAGGTCATCACGAAGATAATCATGTTGATTAGCAACAAAGGGGAGGAACTACATCTTTGTCTTTTAAGGATATCAACAAAACCTCAGAATTTTTTTGCCCCCCAGACATGATGACTCATTTCTGTGTCCTGGCTCTATCTACTTTAAGGATTCCATAATTTTATTTTTGATATTATTTTTATTCTAAATATTTAGCATTGACACGTACAAAAGGCAGAGATTAAATATATAATATGCCAACAGAAATTAATTTGGGTTTCACTAGATGACAGCTGCCAGTAAAAACTACTGTTCCACATGGGTATTTTAAATTTATGCAGTCAATACAAAATTAACATCTACAGATACTTAACATTCACTGGTGTTTGTGAAATGTCCCTTTAGACCTACTGATTCCCACCATATTTGTACACACAGCCACTATGAAAAGCAATTCTAACAAAAGCAATAATATGTTACCTTGGAGTTCCAGGATTTATTTAAATATGGCCTAAAAATAAACACACATTCTGTTAAATGCTAATTGGAATATATGCATTACAATACTGCCTGTATCAGTAAAAGCCTTCTCAAAGCCAGCCAACCTATTCATGTGTTTAAATACAACATCAATTAAAAGATTCAAAGGATTAGAAGAGCTCAGCCCCTTTCACTCATGTCACCCATCACCCATCTCAGACCAAGCCCCAAGGAATGAGCCCAGCAGGGACAGTTCCCACCCTACCTGTTAAGACCCAAGGAGTCTCTTGCTTTGCTCTTCTCATCACTCTTGTCTTTGTACCTGTCACTGATTTTACTGATCAGTGATTTGGCTGCATCTGAGATTTCTTTAGACTTTGGTTTCTATAAAAACAGTTGAAGACTTAACTTTGAATTCATCCAACAGAAGAACAAAGCCGTAAATAGAACTTCAGGTTCCTAAAAAAACCCTAAACTACATTAAATGTCTTCTAGATATATTAAATCACATTTCCTTGCAAACCAGTTCCCCCTGCATTGCCCAAAGAGTGTGCAAGGAAACATGAGTTTAGCAGGTGTTTGCTTTTAAATAATGTGGGTTTGGGAACTGTAACATTCAAAAGTGAGCAAGGAAGTGCATGAGAAGCACAAGTCGGTGGTTATTTAAGAATAATTTTGACAAAGAAATTCAGAGTAAACTAATCTCAAACACGTCACTGAAAACAGCAAAAAGTGAAGGGGATATTATTTCTTCATTTGGTATTTGTGGAAAATCAATTAAAAGTAAGTTTGTGCCTAAATGACAGTAAAACCACAAATTTTGGAAGACTGAAAATTTGACAATTCTCTTAATTGCAAGTCAAAGAAAGGAAGGTAAGAAATTCTCACAGGCTTTGATGGTTTTGGATTTGCAGGCTCTTTCCTGAGGAGAACTTCGGGTTCCTCTCTTGGAAGCTCAGAATGCAAAGATGTGTCAGCCACCCTGGCTGAAAGAAAGGATTTAAACCATGTTTCAGCAGTAGTTTCAACATTTTTCCCTTCTGTACTTAACAGTTCCTGTTCCAAAGAATTAACACTCTGACTGCCCACTTGGTATGGTCTCTCTTTCATTTTCTTGCTTCTCTTCTCTTTATTTAATTTGTTGATCTGGAGAGGTACTTCAAAGAGTGAATAAATAAATAAATGCCTTTTGTTTCAGAGCTCTTTCACTAACAATAGAAAGGAAAAGAGGACAGAAAAGCACAGCTGCCAGGTGCCAGTTTATCTGATCTCTTTTGAAGAGTAACAGTTAACCATGTGTGAACATAACCTGCATGGGATGGACGTGCCACTGCTGGATTTGGCTTTTGCTTGTCCCCAGTGGTCCCACTTTTCTCAGGAAGAGGGGATGTTCTTTTTTTCCATGTTTCAGATTTATCAAAAGAACTTTCCATAAGTCCAGGCAGCCTAAAGACAACACCACCTTACTGTCAGTGAATTGCAGAAAGGGACTTTTAATTACAATAAACATGGTTCATAAAATAGGAAAATAATGGAATCTTACACATATCAAAGTATTTTACATGGCAACATAATTTCAGTTCCGGTAATACTTGAAAATACTCCCTTCAAAGTGAGTGACAACAGTGAATTCTTTTCTAATACTTACAAGGGTTTGTTGCTTTTCCCAACTGGCTGAGAATCAGGAACGATATCAAACACTTCACCTATGAGACATTAACTTGGTGTCAATTATTATGGCAAAAGAAATGGACAAAATTCAAATGATATTAAAAGTAAGGATTATCAATGCTTGTGAAATTACTTGCCTAAAGTTTGCTCTTCTGTGGTCTCTTGTATAAATTTTAAAACTTCTTCAGCACATTTTTGCTACAGTGGAATAACACCCAAAAGGAAATATTAGCATAGGACCATAAGCAGTGTAACCTCATAAACTTGTACTTTACCTAAGAAAACATGAAATTCCTTTTTGTTTTAGTTCATGGAAGTGCTGCTCCAGTACCTTTTCATGTGCTTTTGCCTCATTTCTGGTGTTTAACCTCCTGATCTGTTCTGTTTCAAAGAATTCATCATCTAGTGTCAATCTTTGCCATCTCTAAAAAGGACAGTAACACTGACAGTTACAGTCCATAAAAGACAAAGAAGTAAAATTCTCCTAGAAATGGACACTTGAAATATCCTAAACAAAACATTCTATAACTTAAAGCCTTCCTCTCAAGCATGGCTGTATCCAAAAATGCTTCAGAATCCCATAGTCTGGGGCTTGACCTGAATCTGACCAAGACAGACATTTAGAACCAGAAATAAAATCAAAGTGTTACTTTGTAGTCATTGTTCAACTGGAACAGAACCAAAAATAAAACCATACTTACACTGCAGTTCAGTGACACCTCTACAGTTTTTTGTGATAGCAGTGAATGTCTGACCAAAAATGCACTAAAAGCAATGCTATAAATGCCATAACCTGAGGCCATTCACATTTCACAGCTGCAGCTGAAGGTATTCTATGTTTTATGAGTACTTCAATCCTGCAGAATCCGTGTCAGATTCTGTGCATGCAGCTTTCTCCTATTACACACAAAGGAAGAACTGAGGGTCTAGTAAAAGCAAGTTAATTCTGGAGTTCAAACTGATGAGTGACTGCAAATTTTAGCTAATTAAGAGTTCATTCTGACTTTGGACATATCAAACCTGAAATCCAGAGGACAAGAAAACATTATGCAGTAAAGTCAAACACAATATTTTCTACAAGACAGTTGCTGAGTCTAGCTCTTTAAAATATGAATTAGGAACAAATTAGAATAGAAATTAATGTTATTGCAAGTAAAAGACTTAGCTACGGATGACATGCATACTCCAGTAGAGTCCTGATAGGAAATCTTTGTTCTGGTCTCATTTGTTGCACTGCTGTCAGACCTCTTAGTGGAGCTCGTCATTTCCAGAGGCAATTTAAATCTCCCTTTAAAAGGAGTGGCTGGAACAAAGCAGAGACATGTAGGAATTCCAGCACTGCTTTCATTACAATTACTGGGCTGTCTGGGACATCAGTAGGAAGAGTTTTTGCCCATGATCACACCAAAAGTTGGTTAGTATTGATAACAATCCATTACAGCCCCTTAATATTTCTCTTGATTTCAACTCTGTTATGTGGAGATGAAGAGCCCACAGACTGTGGGTGTCCAGAGGCAAAGCAAAGCTTTTACAGGCTGGCTCCAGTAGAAAATAGTTGGTCACTCTTTAAAGATTTCCCAGTCAGATATTTTTGCTGAACAGCTGCCTGAGAGCTGCAGGACAAATGGCAGGTGCCCCCCAGTTACAGGGAACCCCTGTGCAGCCACTGTCCCATAGCACATCTCTGGACCAGGATAAGTGGCCTCGTTCAAAAATTTCGAGTTTAAAAATTGCAAGTTTAAAGCACCTGCTCCGGAGATTTTACAAAGTCTCCTTTTCATTTCCAGCTCTGCCAGGGAGCACAGTCCATGCTTGTGTTTCAAAGACAACTTATAGTATATTTTTACCCTGGAGGCACTTGTAAACTCACATGTGCTAACAAAGGTCAGTGGACTCCTTGTGGAAGTTCTTGTAGTTCCAGGAACAATCACAGAGGCTTCAGACATTTTCCTTGTCCGAGAGGGAGTGATCTGGAGGAACAGAAAGAACTTGGCCATGATACACTGATTTAAGGATGACAGCATAAGAATTTAGAAAGTCTTTTTCCAAGAGCCTCTTGACACTTTCCATTCCTGGAACAGCAGTTGCTGTTGCTGCAGATATCAATGTCATGGGATTTTTAGGCAGTTCCCTTTCTGAAGAAAGTTCCCTGAAACACCTGAATGATATAAAGCTTAAACTGAACATTTGCAAACTGAGGTCACTGATTGCTGTTTTCTAAGTTAATTCAATGAATTATGGGCAATCCTGTCCCTTGTTCACAGAGAGGTTCCCTGGAGACTCCCCAAAGGTGTCACTAAAGCTACAAACCAAAGAGGACCAGGTTTGCCAAAGCACTGCTGGCAAGACACACCCTCTTACACCAGGAAGACACTGTTCCATCTTTGCCCCTTGCCCAGGATTCTCCAGAGGCCATCCTTGACTTCTGCAAACCAGGAGATCCGAGCACATCTTGAAAACATTTCTCTTTAGAGGATAATGGTGTAAAGAACATTAACAATTCCTTTTTACTTTTGTCACATTATTAAGAGTTCCAAAGTACCAATGAGAAAGTTTTTTGCCAAAGGATTTTTACAGCTATGTCAAGTCCCAATCAAACCCTAAATTAACTGTATTTCAAATGTCAAATAAGAAGAGGTTTACGTTATTAAATGTTATAAATATTTAAATTGACTTGTATTTCTTCTCTATTTGTTTTCACAATCCTACTCACCTTGGAGGAATCCCCTCTGCATTTTTCTTGACTGTTATTTTTATTCTGAGTCCTCAAACTTTCAGGAAGTTGCTGAGTTTTCTTCTTACCGAGTTTCTCCTCCTGTTCAGATTTTTCTTTCAAACCTGGTGACAACTGGCTTTCTGGTACCATAACCTATATAATATTTTCATTTTATTTAATTGCATACAATATTTGGATTTTATGTTTTATATTTACACAAACACACAGGGCAATTTCTTTACCTTAAATAACATACTCCTCATTTTGATAAACTTCAGAGGTTACAGCCTTTTAGTTTGAAAAGCCTCCACCCTAATTGCTATTTTCTCTAAGAAGGATGGGTTATTGAGTCACAATTCACATAAAAGTACTTCCCCTGTGTATATTTGTCTGATTTATTCTTTGATTGGGATAATAATATCTCCCCAAAAATACAATATATACACACTAGCCATCACTTGCTGGCTTTAGACTTATCTATACTTCGAGATATATTCAAAGTCCTTGTTTCTACCATGACAGGTTGTAAACTAGCAAATAATCAGACTAAATACACAAACCCACACAATAAAATACCTGTGATCCACTTTCATCAAAGAGGACATGTACAGCTGTTTTGGCAACTGATGCACTTTGCTTCTTACTCCCATCCTGCAAAGGGAGGAACCACCCACGTCAAAACAGACACTTCGCTCTTTGGTTAAACAAGGAACAGAAAATATTTGAGGGAAAGATCATAAGTGTCTGAAATCAGATTACAGAGGCAAAGAGATGCTACAAAGCAGTTCCATTCCTCAGGAATTCCTCAGTCAGACCTCAGGACACAGTAGTTGTCAGAAGGAGGAAAGTGTGGCTTGCTAACACTTTTTTAAGTGCACTAAGCACATTTATTTTGAATTAATTAAAAACTATTCAAAAAGGTGTTTCAATCTTACCTTACATTTACTAAATCCATAAATCTTTCTGGTTACGTCTTTGATTTCCAAAATGGAATTAAAATACAAAGAAAATTTCTCTCCTTCCAGATTACCCACGTTCATTGGGCTTTTGAGATCTATTGTCAATAATTTCTTTGAGTCTTTTTCTGGACAAAAACAAAATTTGAAAAGTTCCTTTATTACAATGTAACAACATCTCATATAATGTTTGTAAACACATGACACTTATTCTTCAGTACAGCTACTAAGATGTATATTTTAATTCACTCTACAATAAATTTTATTAGTGAAACAATTCAAAATTCTATCTTTTAGGAATAATTATTTATATTATTCTATAGAATTTTCTTTGAGGGTTATTTACTATAGCTGCAGACCAATTATAGGTATTTACTATTCTAATTAGTTTAAAGGAATATTAGTTCCTGTCATTGTCTTTTGCCTTATTTTGTATTGAAATAACTAGAAGACATTATTTTTAAATTATTTTCATAAAATCACACCTGCATATCCAAAATGCAAATGTGACTGCAATGCAATTTTATCTTAGATAAAACCAGCTTCTACATTATTTTAAATGAGAATTTTGCTTTGCTGAGAACAGAGCCAGTAATTCAGGATTAATTGCTTTGAAAACCCAAGTTAGCCTGTACCAAATGTCCCATTTTTGAGTGCAAATACCTTCAAGGCTGTACATGTTCACCTCTTCTTCTGGTATGATCACTGTTTCCCACTGCTGACCCTTATATGAAAAATACATTTTTAAAGATAGAAAATTCTGATATTACAGCTAAAAGAAATGCAGAGATCAGAAAGTCATTCAGTGAGGACAAATTTTCAGCTTTTTAAATCTCTGTTAGGAAGAGTGACATGGAACAAATGCTTCACCACTGCATGTGTTAAACTATTCCAAACAGCATTAGAAAATCATGACTTTGAAAGTCTTTGATCTAAATATGTACAGCAAACCTGGAATTTTTTCCCCCCTCCACATTGGAATAAGTTCAACATGTTGATGTGGGGAAACAAATCTGATACACTTGAAAGAATCTGGATCTACTGCCTCAGTCTGAGAGACAAAAATCACTTACTGCATCATCTGCTGCCACATAGAAAGAGATACTTTTGCTACCAACATTAAAATCAATCCAGAATTCCTCCAGATTTTCATCCAGTGGGAACTGGAGCTAAAAGAAAAAGATAAAATAATAAGAGCAGAGAGCACTACTTACACCAGCTTACAAGCTTTGTGTTGGTCTCACAAGCTTTCAGTACGTGCCTGTCTGAATCCTTCTGAAAAAAAATAATTTTCTTACCTTATCCCTATTTTTTATTAACTAGAAGGCAGAGGAACTTACCTCATATTTATCAAGAGCTGCTGATAAACACGGATATGTAAAAACCCTGTAAGAAAAGGATATTTTTTTCAAGTATTCTACAATGCTGTAAACAAACTTTGCATATGTGAACATAGCAACAGGGTTGTGTTTTCACAAACTTGTGTGCTTTAGAGACTAAGAGATCCCAGCAATCAAAAATCACTTTTTCCCCGAGAAAGAAACTTTATTAGCTCTAAAAAAAAAATCAGTTTTACCTTCTTTTGTCTCCAAGCATGCCATTCACCTGGTTGAGAAACTTCCTGCAATCCTATAAAACACGGAAATTTCTTAAAGAATTGTAAAATGGAAGTTTACCCCCCCGGCAATATTTTTCATATGACTTACTGTTTCAAACTCAGAATCTTTAATTCCTTTAAATGCATTGGACACAAACTCCATGGAAAACCACTGGGAGGCCAGTTCTGCTCTTTGCTTCTCTGAGATCATTCTGCACAAAGCTTCTGTGATGGCCACTTGCATGTCATAGTCTGCAGGAAAAGGAGATTTAAAGACACTCCTGAGGTGAAAAAATATTCTGAGGAAAGTGGTATAAGCATATTCTAAATCATATTATATCCAAATATGTAAGCCCCAAAGGATAAGTGGAATAATGATGACCAAACTTATTTTTCCAAAGGAAATTTCACCCAAACCTTGCAGGACTGTCAGAGCCCCCCCACGGGATGTACAAGCCAAGGAAAGACATTTTCAGCTTTCCCCGTCTGACCTGGGAAATTGTTGGCTACCAAAAGGATCCTTAGAGAAGTTACAGTGCTCAAAGCTTGACTTCCTCATCATCTTTTGCTATTTTAAAACTTAGATTCTAGAGAAGAACTGAAACCTGCAGTGAGTTACCCATGCACTGAACACACTGAAACATTCCAGCTTGCAGACTGTTTTCAGGCAGTATTTGTACTTTTCAGATGGCTCAATCACCACATTCTGCAGCTTCTGAATGTCTTCTCAGGTTTTTTAAAAGCTCTGCATCTGATTTTTAGGAACCCTAATAATAAATTAAGTCCCATGCTCACCTCCAGCATCCAAAATTCTCCTCCCCATTTCGCTCCTGCCAAACAAAGTAACGTTTCATCAGAAGATGAGAGCAACACAGAGCACAGAAAGCTTTAATTACAAATTTTCAATATATGAGACAAAACTCTAATTCCACCAGCCTGTAAGACTTAAAAAGGGGTAAGTCTGCTGTGCTAAGGATGTGGAAGGACTACTGGGGAAAATCACCTTATATATTTCAATTTCCCAGTGGGAACCAGCCTGTCTTTCAGTGACTGATTCCCTGTGCTTTACACACATTCTTATAAGAAAGAGTTTAATTGTTTTATGAACACTGGGATGAGAAAAAGCCTGACCTAGACTGGAAAAGAAGAAAACTCATGGAGAATAACCCATGACAATACCTGCCCACAGCCACTGTCTTGGACAACTCCATAGCAAATGCAACTCAAATTAAACAGGGACCAATCTGCACAAACTATAAACAGGCTCAGTAAAAACTGCCCTCCCAGCTCTGCAAATGATGTAATGATATAAAAATTATACTGAAGATTATTTACATGACCAGTAACATCTCCTTTGTAGTAAATAACTTTTTCTTGGCCTCTCGGGGTATGTTGTCAAGCATTAAATTCAGTTTTCTTACTACCTAAGAAGAGTGGAAAAAAGGGAGTAAGAGGAAAAATAAGTTTGTTATTCTTATTTTGGGCCATTGTAATATATTTGAGAACACTGAAGAAAGTAAAATGCAAAATGCTTAAATAACAACGAGTTCTATCTGACATGAAAGGGTATTTACCTTAATATAACTACCTCAATTTCAGTAAATCACATTAGTTTTAATGGGAACATTAGTTCTTAAAGGGTTATGTTTCTTATTTGCAGGTTTAAATACAGAAAAAAAATCTTTCTAAGCTGGAGTTCTGTCTGCAGTTGGTTGCTGAGCTAAAATGTCCCTTAAATTAGCATTAAAAAGCCTTTCCTTTGGGGATGCAGCCTTGACAGAAGACTTTTTTGTGACTTTCCCTATATCTTTAGAGGGAAAAAACCCCCTGACTCTGTTTTTGTAGCATCTGTACAGTTAAATAACTGTCTTCCCAAAGTCTGTTAACACAGTGACCAGAAAACTGTTGCTTAGAAAGAAGAATGTTTACCTCCTGCTGAACATAAATACTAATTCTTACATCAGTGATGAGGGAACATGTTCTCAGAACAAAGTTTTCCAGTATTTGCATTTTACCTAACAAACAGGAAAAGAATAAATTAGAGAGTTGAAAAGAATAAATTAGAAAGTTGCCCCTTCATAAACATTTGGGACAAGATTCATTTTTCTTTGGAAATAAAATACTGTATGTCTTTCTTTCCATACAGGATTACTGATATTTGAGGATAAGTATCTTAAGCATCATGGTTAAATGTAAGATAGAATATTCAATTTATAGTAAATGTGGCTCTTTGTGAGGTTTCTGCTGCTGTGCATCACTGCACAACCCCCCTGAGCATGAGAACATGAATTTTAAAATATACCTGGTCAATCCTCTAACTCAGCTCTCTGAGATACAATTCAGGGGCTGGAATTTCTCTTCCCAGAGACAAGGAAATAAATCTTTCACTTTGATCACGACACCATAAGGGTCTGGAGTGACTTTCCATGCTGGAAGGGTGTGATATTCCTGATGCCAAGGTCAGCACAGAAGGATCACTGGGCTGTGCTGAGCTGTGACAGCAGCTTAGAAACAACTTTTTTTAGGACAAACTCGTTGCAGTTGCCATTTCTGAGAGCACCCTGCTTTTTGATTACTGACATCAGCAAGTTACAAGGAAACCTGTCAGCAGAGAAACCTCAGACTGAACAATGCAGGTTAGGGCTGACATTTCCCATGTGAAACGTGGTCCTCTGGGCACAGTTTATCAGCTGAAACATTTAGATCTGGTGGTATATTTGGATTAGATCAAGAAGCTGGTACCACCCTCGTTGCACATGTTCTCCTCACAAACACTTGCCTAAAGCTGCCTCCATGAGTACAAATGATTTTAACACTGATAAAGTGTCCTGAGAGAGACATTTTAAACCTTCACATGTAGTGCACATGTTTTTTAAGCTCACCTTCAGGTCTGCTCTCACACACAGCCTGCAGTGAGAAACAAAACAAGACATCATTTTGATACAGCAAATATTACAGCAGAAAAATCAGGCAAAATGTACCTGAAGGAAGTAATCAAAAAGAATGTAGGACTTTGAAATTATTTCATCCTTAACAAAGAATAAGAAATGATTTCTACTACCACGTGTGGTTTCCTGAAATTTTATTTCAGTTAAATTTACTGAAATTGTTTCACCAACGACAAACATTTTTATGAAAAGAAGCAACTCACAGATCTTATAAACTTGGGGCCCTGGATTAGCAAACTGATAATTTATGTAATCAAAATTTGATCAAGACAAAATTTTTTTTTGTTCATTGAACACAATGTTGTGCATTTTTTAAACTTCATTTCATGATGCCAACCGTGAACAGAAAACAAGTATAAATACAGCAAACTGTTTATCCCCAAAGACTAATAATCTATTTCAAAAATCACTATAACATGAACTCTAGAGAGATATTAAATAGAAACACACTTGAAAGTTCTTTTGTTGCTAAACTAGTAACAACTATCATGACAAATTTTATTATCAATATATTTTTACCAGTAGCACATTGAAGAAATCTTCAGCCAGACTTGTAAGCATTTCATTCCTTTCATTTCCTCTGAGGATCAAAATTCCTTTTAACTTTTCAAACCAATTGACCATGTAAAGGAAAAATAAAAGTGAAACTATTTTAATAACCTGGAAAAGGACAATAGTTTGTATTATACTTCAGGAAAACTACACAAAGATTAAAACAACAACAGCATTACCAGTCTGCTGAGCATATGTCAGCCTCAGACTGAAATTTTTCACTCAGACTAAAGCAAAATGAGGAGATTTCAAGGACTTTGCAACACAAAAACTGGAGTTCTACTTTGACATCTGCCATCACAGACAGAAGAGATGAAAATGCAAATGGCTGAGTGCTGTTTGTAGGTGTGAATATAAGCATAAAGTTATCACCACACTGGTTTATTGTTGTGAAAGCAGCTGAGAAGGCAGTCGAGTAGCACTGACATTGCCATTAATTCTCTTCAGGGAAATGTCTCATGAAAGCACAAGAAAGTGGGTGGTGTCTATTGTTCTGTATAGTTACTGAGTTGCAAATGATTAATGCATCCAATAACACAAAATAATCACAGTAGCACTAAAATCTGTTGAAAGAGCAGGTACAAAATCACCGCTGTGAGAATTCACAAAAAAAAAATCTTCAAATGGCACCAGGAAATTCTAATTTCCAACTTCAAAGCAGTCCAGCAAACTCATATAAAAATATGTAATGTTGTTGTAGTTGCTGTAAGCATATCTAAATTCATTCTATATTGCATAATTTGCAAAACCCTCACTGTGATAGAGCAGCAGCTTTATAAGGGGTCACTTGACAAAGCACATTCAAATGTTTGTTGCAAAGTTATGGGAAATTCTTAATTCTGAAACAACCAAGGACCAAATCAAACACTGAGCAGTTCAGCACTTATGCACTTGGTTAATTTTTATGTATTTCTTGAGAAGTTCATATATGTTTTATGGTTTTACTTATCCTTCCAACAAGCCCGTATTTCATCATTGCTGGGAGCCCATCCTCTCCTGCTATGCTGATTTTTTCCCCACATTTCTGGATGACATTTAGTAAAGTAGAAACGCTTTTCACTTCTTGTTTGTCAAGTTCCTGAAATCGAAATTACAACAGAAGCTTTAATGTACAGTTCCAGAAGAACTAGATAATTAAGCAGATGCCGTTTTTCTTCTCGAAAGCCACCTTAATTGCAGCTTGAAGGAGAGATTTCAGTCTTAAACTTTATTTCAGGCTTTCAAATCAACTGGTGGTATAAACCAAGGCAAATGAACTATTTCAGAGTGTTGCAATGCCAGTGCAGACGATTGGGATGCAATGGTTACATTACCCGACACAGAAGCTTGTCTAATTTGTTCACAAACTGTTTGCTGCTTTTGTAAGAGACATTTGCAGAGTCTTCTGTGGCCAGAAATTTCTCTAATAATTGGGAATCTTTTTTTCTTGTAGCTTCATCAATTAACTTTTCCAACTGTCAACAATAAAAGAAAGCAGCTGTATTACTGTGTGCTTAGCACTGATTCAGATTTAACAGGATTTCATGCAGGTTTTCTGCATTCACCTGCTCCATTCGAAGCAAATATCCTGAATCACAAAATAATTAAACGTGAAACCTAAAGAACAGAACATCATATCTAATACATTAATCATGCAAATACTTGTACACTGGGATTTTAATTATGTCCCAGTTTTCCTCAACTGGCTTTTCTTTCCTGCTATTACAACTAAATTCCTAGATAAGTGTTCATTGTCTTAATGGTCCTTCCTTAGTACATGTAACATTTTACTTTACCAAGTAACTTCAACTATTTTGCCCCCCTATTCTTTCTAAATCAGTTATACCCAGGTGTCAGCATTTTGATCTTAAGTATCACCTCATTGATTCATCTATGTCAAATGCACATGATTTATTTTTATCAATAACAGTCTCCAGTTCCTCTTGCTTTCCACCCACCTATTTCACTCTAACCTATGTCAAAGGAAAGTTTCTTCCTACCCCACTGCACTGCCAGGCTGCAGATTTGACTTGCAATTGAGTACCTGAAGGAGTGCTTTAAGCCAGTAATTAAAACAATCAATACTCATGTTCTGGTCCATCAGCACATACCTGCATCTCACTCCTGGCTGTCATTTTTGCAATTCACCAACTCAGCTGTGTAACAACGGAAACAATCATCACTTAGGCTTCAAACAGGTTTCACAAACACATCAGTAATGCATTACAAGATACGTTACAAATTCCAAAGTTTGTCACTAGGGTAAATGCTATATGAATGCTATTTAAGAATTTAAACTAACTGGGGATATAAGAAACAGCAGAACTCCATAAGGGCCCTGCTATAAAATGCCAGATTAAATAATTTAACAAAAATATGGTAAATGACACAGCAAAAAAACCTTCTGAATTATACACACAGTGATGGGCTCCAAGGTGACCGTCACCAGCAAAAGGTCTCAGTAAGTTTTATGAAAACAAGTGTCTAAGTATTCAACAGCAGGCAAAGTATTTTCTGTAACATCTAAAAAAACCAACAAACTTGTTCATGCTTTGTACGAATTAATCTACACCAACCAATCCGTGGACAGTCAACAATGGGCAGTTTTAGTCTCCCCATCCCAGAAATTGCACAGACCAAGCAAAGGGAAACAGTGACTAAAGACAGGGAATGACTTCTGCAGAGCAGCAGCTGCGAGCACAGGCTAACCTTTTATGTACTGCTAAGCAACACAGAAACAATACATACACGGAGATTTTAAATTCCTTTTTGCAACAAAAGATAAAACACGAGCCTCCGCTCAGGCCTGTGCTGGCACCTCACACCTCTCGAGTCTTCGGGCGGGTCAGACAGGGCAAAGGATGAAACAGAACCCTCTTCTCCACAGAGAAGACCTCGACCCCCAAAACACGGGTATCCGCTGGAATATCCCTCAGGAGTCTGGAATGTCCCTCAGGAGTTCTGGCGCTGCGACCGCACATCCCGAGCACCCTCACCCCGGGCCCCGCTCCCCTCACCCCGGGCCGCCCCTCACAGCCCGCGCGCCACGAGCGCCCCTCCCGCTGGCCAATCGCTGCCGGCGCCGCCGGCGGCCAACCAATCAGCGCCCGGCAGCGCGGTGCGCGGGCCAATGGCGCGGAGCGGGGGGCGGGCTCTGCGCGCCCTCAGCGCGGGTGACGGGAGCGCCCTCAGAGGAGCGACCGCTCCCTCTGCGTTACAAATTAGCTTTTAGAACACTGATTTCAGCGCCCAGACGGGAGTTAGTGGGCGTCAGTTTGCTAAAACAGTATAAGTCATTCATGTGCTTCATTCAAAACGTTTTCACTGCCAAAAAGTGCCCGAGTAGGTATAAACACACCCTCAGGTGCGCGTTTACCTGCTGTGGGTAAAGGGCGTCGACTGACGCTTGTGGTCTTTATTATCCAGAAGGAACTGGATAATATGCTTTAATGGAATCCAGCAGTGCACTGCATAATGTGCTTAAATGGAATCTAACAGTGCCAAGGTGGGGCTTTACCTGTACTGGTGTGATACTGGTGTATCTATGGCTGGTGTATCTATATATTGCTCAAACGCGGCTGATAATATTTATCACGAATCTCACATACTCCAGTGGAATAGCAAGAATCTCACATACTCCAGTGGAATAGCAAGAATCGTCTCCACTCATACCTAGAATAAGCAGCAGTAGTGGAGCATCCAGGAGAAAAAACATCTTTCACAGCAGGAAAACCTGCAGCAACTGTAAATAAAATAGCACCGCTGACTTTGTAAAATAAGGAAAATAAAATCTCAATACTATAAAAGGCAAAAAAACCCTGTACACGAGGTATTTAAAATACCACCAGATGTCACTGTAATTCAAGAAAATGACAAGTGGTGTGAGAATTGGAGTATCTGCGCTGAGGAGTTGGGAGTGAGCAGCGCTGGGCATTTTGCGGGAGGAATGTCCTGCTAAAGCAATTCACTGCAGCATTAACTGCCCTCATATTTACTGTTGGCAGTGGGTGATCCGAAGTAGATCAGTAAAACAGCTTTACTGAGAAACCCACTAGGGACAAAATTTTACATGAGGAACTTGGAGCATCGCTAGTTTTCTGTAAAAGCTGAATCCTGAATTTTGCTTCCATCATATGAAGCAAAAGTAATAAAAGCCAATTTACATTCGATGCTTTCCCTTTACCAGTCCCATGAGCAAACACACAGGATGAGACTGTCCAGCCTTACTTGTTCTATAGCAAAAGAGAAGTGAGGCAGAGTCCAGAAGTGGATCCTACACTTTCCCTCCTGCAATAGGTACACTGAAACTACTTCAATTCATTTCTCGTTCTTTAATATCAGTCTATTTTGTTTGCTTTAGCAGAAGGGAAGTCAGCAGAGAGCAGAAGTTTCAGTAAGTTATCCATCAAACAGACCAGAACAGTGAAATTATTTGGCCACAGACATGGAAACTACACTTAAAAACTCCTGAGAAAATGGAAGCAAAACTGTTTAGGGGAGGGTAACACTGTGTACAGGGACCTTTCTTTACTACAGCACCAGAAATGTTTATCCTTATTAGAGTTAACAGAAAACATTGTTCTGGCCAAGGTATTCAATCTTTAGCACAGCTGCCAGTTTATGTAGAGCTCAAGGGTCAGGAGTGTTGATGCCAACAGTTTTAATATCAAGTGTCAGCTGAGATTCTTGAACATCTGAGATCACAAGGAGAAGGCCAAGTCAGGAGGGAAGTCAGTACTAACATCACACTCATGTAATCACTTAGACTTGCTGTTCTGAGTCTTTATCAGCTGCAAGGTACATAGAACATTGTAGTGAGCACTGATAATACACTACATTAAGTGCTGTAGTTACAACTGACTCTGTATGCATATAGCTATCTTTACAGGTTAGAATTTAATTTTTTTCTTTGTAAAACAAATGTAAGAAACTATGAATTTGAAACGAAATGTAAAAATAACACCTATATTAAAAATAGCACTAACAACCTGTAGGATAAACCTGATGGTCAGATGTTTTCAGAAAAAAACCAGTCCTGCTCTTAAATAATCTTGCACAAATCCCCACCCTTGAAGCTAACACAAATTCACAGTGTTTTATTAAAATCAAACAATAAAATCTTTATCCTTTGGTGGTCTCCTGGCTAGTCTGCACTGTGGCCATCATATTTATTTCCAGGTGATGCTTAATACTCTATTTTAGTGGGTAAGATTATTAAAAATAAGGTGGTATTGCTAGTTCTGATTCAGATCAATAGTATAGGATAATGGAAAACAAGAGTCATAAAGACAAGACATTATAATATCATGTCTCCTGAAATCACGCTCCTTTATGCATCTACACGCATATATTTATAACAATCTGTATACTTTGTAATAAAAAGAGATATTAACATTCTTGAACAACTTAATATAGACATTCCTATGTATTTAAACAGTGATTTGCAATAATAATCTTTCCCCCAAGCAACTCTGAAGTGTTGAAGTTATTAACACCAATTAAAAAGTAATGGGCAATATCTGTCCTTATTAATTATGTCTTCTAGTTAAATGTCTCCATTTTGCTTTAGGAGAAACCTGGCAACAGATTATTCACACCTGGAACTGTATCAAGTAAATGCTTGACCCCCATGGAGATGCATTTCCTATCAAGGATAAATCAGTTATTGCAGAGCTGGACATGCTCTTAATATACCACACATAGATATATTTTCAAGAAACTGTGAGTGAGAAGGACCTGATTTGAGAGGACAGACTGCAGCACTGAGAACTGAAAGAACAGAATAATAACAACTGTGAGGCTCAGAAATGCACATGTTGAGTCTAGCACAGCTTTGGAAAGTGCAATTAGAGGAAAATCCCTTTCTCTTCCATGGAGGTCTATCAGAATGAATTGTCAGCGTGCCTTTTTCCAACATTATATCTTTATTCTGCAGGTGCTGCATACATAGAACTCTGAGGCGAAAGGACAACAAATTCCATGTTCAAAGTGGCAGCCTGACCATCTTTGCAGCTGCACAGACTATCACCATGTGCATCAGGTGCTGTTCATTGTTTGGCAACTCAAACCCACCTGACCTCCCTGAGTATGATGCTCTGTAAGTGACAACTCATGAGTTTTCTTAAAAGGAGTACCACTGACAAAAACAACATAAAATTGTGAAAAGCTTTTATTTCAATCTCTTGTATTACAATAGCCATAGTTTTATTATTGCTTTTTAAAATGAACTAAAAACTTTGCAATTTTACAACTGCTAGACTCTTTGTCCAGCATATGTGCTTTATTGATATCCTGTGTAATGTACTTTATTCTGGACAAGACATTTAATCACAGAAGACAACCCCCTTTTCATTTACAAGGATTTCATATGTTTCTTTAAAAAACGTGCTCGGAAGAACCTTGAAACTGTGGGCTACCAGACATTCATTTATTGTATGACAATAATAAATACGTTTTTAAAAAGTGCATTATATGGCAATAACCCTTGTGAAGAATTCACTTGTACAAAATCTTCATGATAAGGGAAGTGCTTGGTTTGAACACAGTGCAAGCAGTCAAGTTGTCCTGAGAAGATACAGAGGTGGTCATAAGTTTACCTTCACGAAGTGCATATTACCACTACTTAATGGCTTAATCCCATTTTTGTTAACCAGAACCCTTTTGATGCTCATTGCTGAATGTGACAAGAAAACCTAAGTGCCTGTTTCCTCTTTGATGTGACAGGTGCCAGCACTGGTGTGAATGTTTAACAGCTTAACCCAGAGATCACTCTCAGCTCAGCTGCTCCACTGACAGCCAGCAGTGCCAGAGAGCTGGACTGCCAGGAACTGCTACTGCCAGTGCTTCTCCAGCAGTGCAAGGCAAGCAAGGAGAGCAAAGGGAAACTTGGAATAATGCTTTAGTATTTAGTAGTCAAGATTTTGCACATGCCAGTACCCGGAGAGGTGGCAGAAGGAAGACAATACAAGCCCAACTCAGACTGCTGAGACATTCATTTCCTACCCCTCTGCACTGTGGTACATCTGGCATTACCCTTTATACTGAGAGCCTCAGCTTTATATAATCTGTCCTTGTCTGAGATAACACTCAGATTTGACAGTTGCTGGCACATGACAGTCTCTCCCAGAAGATGGCAACAGCATCTTTCTGCCAGGAAGCCAAGGATTGCTCTGAGCTCCTGTCAAGTACCAGAGGGACTTTCAGGGTCTACTGGGTTTGCTGAGGGAAGAAATACAGTAATCTGGGAGGGAAAAGGAGGGGAACAATACTTTAAAATAGTGCCTTTTATTCAGCACAGCTGCTCCTGTGTGTGTGCATGTCCACTTCCTTCTTACTTTACTGACAAGTACATAACTTTGCCTCCAGGGACTTAACAATAGTGGATAAACTTTAATGGAATTCCCTAAGTCAGCAAGTTTCATCAAAGTAAGTGTACACAGTTTCAATTCCTGCCACTAAAGATTCTTCTGCAGTCAGGGAAGGTGTTCCAGCTCACCTCACTCGACACCTACTCACTCTGGCATGATTTGGCACAACCTGCACTAAAGCTGAGCTGCAGAATGGCAGCACTAGTCCCACAGTGTTCTCTCCACACTCAGCAGAGGTGATACAGTTTGTCACACCACAGGCAATCAGCTACAGGGAGAACATCTCCATTTCTAGGGAGAATATAGCTTGACTAGTGCAGATATTGTATGTCCTATACTGTCTTGTCACTTAGTCACAGGAGAGCCAGCATAGGAGGCAAAATTCCTTACAATTAGACAATGCCCCTTCTTACAGAGTTCTCATCTTTTGTACCATATGAGGAAGACACGACTTACAGTTCCAGGCAAGAAGGTGCTGCCAGCTTGGTAATGGTCACTGCTCTAACCCAGGGACACTGGGTGCAGGCAGCACTTCCCCCTCTGACAATCCCACCTCAGCCTCACCTCCTCCTTCAAAACAATTTCCACCTAAATGTTCAGCCTCACAGTTGCTCCAGCAAAGCAGCCAACACAGTCAATACTCAATAGTTCCAAATAGGACTGAATTTTCTGAATACTCTGCAGGAGGTGCTCAGCAGCTCATGAATCTTCATTCATGACTTTGGCTCCTCTGAAAGCCAAAGCCTAATTGGAATGAGGCAGCTTCCTCACTTGAAATCCCAGCTTTGCTAAATGGGTACCACAAAAAGGAGCAACATTAAGTTGCCAGACAAATTCATTTTCTTGGGGTTTCTGCACTTCCAGAATTACTCAGGAGATGTTTTGGGCTAATATAGAATTGGTCATGGGTTCCTTAAAATTGTGATTTTAAAACCTACTTGTGATTTCAATAAATAAGCACCAATCCAAAATAAGATGCCCAAATAAGTGGCCTGATTGTCACAGTACAATCCTAAAAAGCAGCTTTTCTAATACCTCCAGCCAGCCAGCTCTGAAAATTCATGCTACCATATAAAGTTAAACTTTCCATGCAGTTATGAAAACAATGTCCATATGTATGAAAACAATTATGGACAATCTTTTGCTCAATAGATCCAAGCCTGTTGCCAATCCTAAACCACACTAAAATCACAGAATGAAAGTAGTAGTGCAAGAATCATGGGAAGACGGTGCGTAACAGTGTTCCTGTGCTCTCCCTGCAGCAGAAGGGATTCCATTTATGGTTTTGTGTAAGTATTAGTTTACTAGTAAAATCATAATTTTGCTTTGAAGTTCCTGCTTGTGCTGCAAAGGCTGCAGTCCTGGAGTTTTATAATGAGAAGTAGTTAAATAAAGAATTCAAAGCTCCTGCTGCAGTAGTACTGGGGCACTTGGGAACAGGGAGCCAGGATTCAGGATCCAAGGCTCTGTAACCTGCTCCCTGTGCTATTTTTTTTTCCTTACTCATATCCATTTCTTGATTTATAATTTTACCAGAAACACTGGTAAAATCATGAGCATTCATATAGTGTTTTGAGATCTTCAACTGCAACACAAGTTCAAAATTGCTCTAGTTTCCCTTAGTAAATACAGGTGCACCAGGAAAGGACAAGAGAAAAACCTATTTGGGCACCACCTGAAAAAGATGAGAATTTCCCCAGGAAGGTCTGCCTTACACACATTTTAATAACAATCACTCCTGCTGCAAACACTGGAGATAAGAAAAGGCACCTTTTTGGGTATTTTTTAAGGGAAAGAGAGGGGCTGATGGCATATTTCCATGTATGTTCTGCTCGTAGTAACATTTAATTCCCAACCCAAATATTAATGGGAATATTTAACGTGGTTACAGCCTTAATACGATATATATAAATACAAGTACTCCCTACAGTGTCTGCCATCCAAATTATGCATAAATGGAATAGTGCCCAGACTTGGTGAGATAATACAAACAAAATTAGAAACAAAACTAGTAAAGTGATTTAGTAAACAAATAGTACAAAATGAGATCAGTTAAAAACATTCTGTGCAACCCAGAGTATTACTAGGAAACAGAAATGTGCTGCTTTACCCTCTGGTAGTCTGACAGCATTCCTTGAAGCCATTCTGCTCACACATTACAAGAAATGACATGGGCTTTCCGCAAGTGTATCTCAGTAAAGATTTTGGCCCTTTTAGCTTTCCGAGAAGTTTGGAACAGTTTGTCAGGGTCACTGGCTGCTCCCCAGCCCTGGGACACTTCGCCAGATTTGGCAGGTTTTACCAAGAAGACTGTTGCCATAGGAGCAGAGAGCCATGCCAAGGAACAGAGTGCCACCAAGACTACTGACAAGCTGCTCTGCACCCACTTCCTTTGTTCAGATGAAGTGGATCCAGCTCTCCTGACACTCCCTCGGCATCTTAAGGGGGTGGGGCCGACAGGTGAGGGTGTAGTTTTGGCCTCTGTTGTTATCCCAGTACTCCTGGCCATTGACTTGGTACCTTGCTGCAAACTGGACGAGAGAGCACAGCTGGAGGAGGAAGGGAGGCACAGGAAGAAAGAAAGTGAAAACATCGGCCTGATCCTGCCCGTTTTCCTCGGGGATGCTGTGGTGCCAGCGAGCACACACTTCGTGGAGGTTCTGCCACTGGTCGAAGGTGTAGCGCACAGACACCCGCTTCTCAAACGCCACATTGCGAACCTGGATGGTGCCACTGAGCCCCAAATCGGAGCTGGTCACCCGCTCGAGACACACCTGCTGCTCCTGAAGTCGGGAGGAGAAATCCATACAGTCTGCAGGCTGCTGGAAGTCTGGGACCAAGCATTGCATAGTAAACTCCAAGTCTGAGTTGCTGTACCAGAGGTCTGAGTTTATGGAGAGCCTGGAAAGGACATGCAAGGGGATGGATGGATCCTCGCCAGTCTGGAAGACTTTCACCTCGGTGAGCTCCAAACCCAAAGCATCAGCAAACCTCACCCGGTTCATACGACTCTGGCACTCAGGAAGCTGACAGTGCACTGCTCTTCTCCTCCTTTCGGGTGATGTGGGCAAAGACCTGGCTCGGCGGCGTATGATGGGCCGCAGTGCTGGGTCACAGCTGGAGGATGTGCTGCTCTGAGGGTGGTTTGGCTGGGGGCTCTTCTTGGCTGGAGCGCTGCTCTGAAAAGTCAGGCTGCTACTTGTATGGACTGCTGGGGGCTGCTGATGTCCTTGTCCTGCTGCTCCTTCAGCCCTTAACATGTTCTCATAGAGATCAGAGAGATAGCTGGGATTTCTCCGAGGAACACGCACTTCCATTCTTAACTGATGGCAAAGAACCAGGCAATAACGAACACTGACTGCCCTTCTGAAGCACTTAATTTGGGAATGGCAGCCACGGACAGTAAGGTCTGAGGTTATTGCACTGGGTGCAGGAAGAAGGATCAACTTGAATGTCACCTTGTGAATGAAGGGCACAAACGTGGAAGCTCTCAGAGCAGCTGGAAGGATCCAGCGGCGAGGGCGGTCTGTGTAGAGATGAAGGCGAGATGAAAGCAGTCTCAGGGGCCGACAAACTCGAGATCGCTATGCTGGCTGGTGCCCCCGAGGCTCAGGCTGGAGAGGGATTCAAGGCTATCACCGCTGATACTGGAGGAGCTCACGCACAGGCTGGAGAGCGACTGGAGGCTGTCGTGCTGGATAAGTGACTCCAGGCTGTCGGAGAGGTCGCTGGATGCCGGGTGCGCCCTGAGGCACCTCCGGCCGGAGCACAGGGCGAGAGGGGTCTGCAGACTGTCCTCGCTGACCCCCACCGACCCTGCACTGCCGCGGCAGCAGCAGCAGGACGAGCAGGGCGGACACTCCAGGCTGTCACACTGGATGCTGGGCGAGTCGAGCCCGGGGAAGGCTTGCAGGCTGTCGGGCGCCAGCGAGCCGGAGCCGAGCCCGGGGCTGCTGCAGAGGCTGGAGGGGGCGCGGGGGCTGTCCCGGCGGGGGCTGTCGGCCGGGGCAGCGGCGCTGGGCCCGGGGGGACGATCCGCGCCCGGGGCCGCCACAGCGCCCATGGACAGCACAGCCCCGCTGAGCCCGGCCCGGCCCGGGCGGGCCCCGCTCCGCTCCCGCAGCGCAGGCGCCGGGCCCTGTCCCCGCCCCGGCCCGCCCCTCGCTCTGCGCTGCCCAGGACCGCCCTCGGCGGCGAAGGACGCGGGGCCGAAAGCAAAGGCAAGGCAGGGACCGGGAGAGGCCCGGCCGTGGCGCGGGGATGGGGGCGAGACCGGCGGGAGGTGGAGGGAGCGGCGGGTTCGGGAACCCCGCGGGCGCTGTCCTTGCGGAGCGCGGGCACCGCGGCGGGCACCGCTGGGGCAGCCCGGGAGGGAGCGGAGCGGGGCCCGCATCGGCGGCTGCTGCGGGCACAGCCTGTCAGCCATGCCGGGGACTGCCATCTGTCCTGGGCACTGCCATCCATGCCGGGCACTGCCATCTATGCCGGGCACTGCCATCTCTCCCGGGCACTGCTGCCATCCATCCTGGGCACTGCCTTCCATCCCGGGCACTGCTGCCATCCATCCTGGGCACTGCCTTCCATCCCGGGCACTGCCGTCCCGGTGCTGCCTCTTCGCGGCCGCTGATCTGCCTCGTCCCGGCGCTCCGGGGCCCTCGTTCTCTCCCCGCGCTCCTCCTTGGCCGGGGACAGGATGGGGGAGGGCGTGTGGCAGAGGACGAGGTTAAATGTAAATTATTTTCCATTTATTTTGCATTAGTGTGCATAAGCAATGCATAAACAGCAGTGCAGTGACTGTAAAGGTGGGTCAGCAGAGCTGTTGGTCGCCTGTCACATTTGCACGCCGTGTCTGTGCCCCCCAGTGCGGTACCCTGGAACGGGGGTGCAGCTCCTGGGAAATAAAAGAATGCCACAGATCCCGCTCTGAGTGTTTTCAGTAGGAATTGATGAGGCATTTGTTTCGGAAAAAGGAAAAGAAAAAAATTAAGTATCTGGTTCAAAATTTGCATACATGAATATTGCAAGAGCGCGTTTTTTGTGACACGAAAAGGACAGCTCGGCACGCACAGAACGCAGGGGGATGAGCATCTGCTCCCGGTAAACTGGGAGCAGGAACACCCGCCCAGGTGGGCTGTGACGCCCGGCTCCGGGCGATCCAAGTCAGTCCAAGTGCGCAGGCGGAGCGCCGGTGGGATGGTGAGGATGGTGAGCACATGACAGCGCACGGGAGCTCTGGTCACGCTGCCGACTCCCAGGTGATTCCCTGGATTGGGAATAGTAATGAATGACACTGGTTCCCATTAAGCGCGTGCTGGAGGAGGGGACAGTGTTTACCAGGAGCTGGTTATGTTTATGTTCCTGCTTTAAAAATAGAATCACATTGGGAGGGTTTGGTTTGTTTCCAGCAGCTCCAGGACGTGGCGATGTCTGCGTTTGATAGGCTGTGTCTTGCAAACCCAAAAGACTGGAGCCGTTTGAAGATTATGTAAAAATAAAGGTGCAGACACCCTTGAAAGAGAGGAATAATGGGACCAGGCATTCAAGAATATCCCTTATTGCTGCACAGAGAGACACAGCAGAAGGGAAGCCACAGCCACACCAATGAAAACCACAAAGGAATGGTAAAGTAAGGAAATTAATTTCTCTCTTTCTAGTTGCAGAACTGTCAAAATACTGTAAATGAGTTAATAAGTGCCTGGCTGTACTGTTGAGATTGTCATCCTCTGCCCTGATCCACAGCAGCAGGAATGATTGTGCAGGATGATCACGCAGGTCACAAAGTCACAGAGGTGACTGCAGCAGTACTGGAGGCACAGGACGTAGTTTAATTCTTTTATAAGCTCTTGAATTTATGAAATCAGGTTTTTTAAAAAACAAAATTTAACTATACTGGCATAAAAACTGTGAAAACAAGATGTACATCCTGGCAAATTAACTGAACTGCAGTCATGCTAGGTTAGACTGGGAGGGCACACTTTGTTTATTCCTGTTTTGAAATGGTATTTTAAAGCTTTTCTTTTTAAAATCAGCAATACTTCTTGTTTGTAGAACAGACACTGTTTTCTGATTCTTACAGAATACATTGATTTATTCATTCTGTGTGCTTACACAGGAATGTATCTGGTTTAATTGAGGAAATATATGTTTTAGTTTTAAGCTGCCCAGATCAGTAATGCCATTCCCTTTGCTCACATGTGAGTTTTTTCTCCTGCTAATATTGTCACAACCCCATTATAACATGAAATAGTGAGTTTTGTTTGTGCCTTTTGTAAAATAGTTTGTATTGGTAGGAGAATAGACATTATGCTCCCTGCTTACTTCCACTCCTTAACTTCAAAGGAATAATCCTTTAAGTTTTGTTCCCAGTATGCAAATGAGGAAGACAAGCAAAATTTGACTTGCAGTGACCTTTATATTGTACTTTATAATAAATTTTGTTAAATTGCAGTTTCAGGTATTATAGAAATCAGTAGTTAAATATCTGATCTCTAATATCTATATTTTATTATCCCAAAAGTAATTTTGAGATACTCTGGCAGAGGATTCTATATAAGGGCTACATTCTATTACTATATCATCTGATAGAATTATTATTCACTGTTGCATCAATAGTATTAAAAATACAGTAGAGCATTAATAGTATAAAAGTAAAAAGTGACCATGGCAGAGTTCTGGTGAACTTTAAGAATAGCTGCAATCAATTCTCTTTTCTAAACACAATTGCATTCTAAGCTTTTATTGTATTTCCTTTCTGATGGTCATATATGTTGCTATTTGTAAGTGATATTCTGTTTAATCCTTCATAGTTACAGCAATGGAAAAAGCCATCCGAGCACCAAAGGACTAAATAAACCAATTTCTTATGTGAAATCTTCTCCTGGAAGATTGGGCAAAAATGTATCAAGTGCCATTGAAAAGGTAAAGAATCCCTTTTTTTAACATAAGAAGAGTACCTAGTTTAAGTCAGCTTCTTAATAACATCACATACTCTCATATCTCTTCAGATTTCCCCTGACACTCAAGATGGTAACCAACCAAATGTTCTTAAGAAGGGAAGAAACCAGCTGGACAGCAACACTCAGTCCAAAAGGTAGTTTTATGTTCAGATTGTCTCTTTAATTTGTGGTCGTTTCAGACTAGTTTATTAAATGCTTGTGATGAAATCATGGCTGCTGTGTTGTGCTTTTGACTTCACTGGCCCCAGAGTTCAGCATTTATGAGGACAACAAATCTAAGTTATCAATATGGAAACTTACTGTCCTGCCTTAGTGAATAAAATAAAATAAATCAGTAGTAGGAAGTGTTATCTCTACCAGCAAATATTAATTTTGCCTTGAGTTTCTGTGCCAATTTTAGCTTCAGTCGTGTAAATCCCTGTCCTTGAAGGGGGTAGCAAGACCTTTGCAAACCCATGTTCAAAGAATTAACCATTCTGACAGGACATGATCATTCTTCTCATTCAGGATCCCGAGTGTTTGCCCATCACTGCACAGTGTGCAAGGACCAAAGAGGAGTCTCCCAGAAAGAAGGCAGAATGAATCTTTGCTGCACAGGATCCCTCCAAGCACAAAGGGCAGCACACAAGGAAACTTCTGTAGGGTTAAAGATGTCCCAGTGCAACATTTTTACTGCAGTAAAAAAGAACAGTTGGAAAAGAATCACGAAGAACATGTTGCTGGAGCCAGTCCAGGCCCTTCTAAATGGCAAGAAGCATCTGTAAGTGAAATGTTTCTTGATTTTGAATCAGTACAAATTATTAAAGAAGATGCTGAAGATGATAGTGCCAGTGACCTCTCTGATTCAGAAAGGATTCCCATTCCCCCCTCTCCCTGCACTCCACCGGAACTCATTCTCCGAGCTGAAGAAATCGATCCGGATTGTTTGGAACATGTCCCTGAAATGGGTTTTAAAGAATCAGAATATTACTACCCAGACTTCCTCCCACCCCCTTTCAACTCCTGGGACTTGAAGCAGCTGGCCATCTTTGTCCACGTGGAAGGGAAAACTGATTTCCGGCCGAAGCCAACGGGATTTCTGGAGAAATACCTGGAGCGCCTGGTGCAGCTGGAGTGGCTGCAGATGCAGACGGTGCAGAACGAGAGGGGAAAGGCAGCCAAGGGACGGCCCCAGACGGCTCCCGGCTCCACCCGTGCCCTGAAGAGCCCTGGCAAAGGCAAGGCATTGCTCAGCCCTGTGCCCAGCAGGCAAGTGGTGCCCCAGGATAGTGTTGCCAAGCTGCCCAGGAGCTGTTTGGGTCACAGGGGGGATCCCCACTGTGAGGGAAGTCGCCAGTTACATTCTCATCCAGGTCACTTGAGGCCGTCGGAGAGAACGGGATGTGCAGCACCTTCTCAGAGGCAGGCTGGTGACGCAAGGAGCGAACTGAAAAAGAAACCAGCTGCAAAGCAACAGCTGCTCAACCTGCAGCCCTCCGAGAACGGCTCTAAAATCCAAAGTGTTGGTAATATCAGACCCCCCAAGCAAAGCCCAGCGTTCCACGGTGCAGCTGCTCCCATCAAAGGCTTCAAAACGTACACGTGCACAAATCCAAAGAAAAACGGCAGCGCCAGCAGTTGTGTTCCTCCTAAAAAACCGGCGGGGGACAGGAAAATCAAAACAAATGGCACGAAGCAAACGTCACACAAATTCAAGTGAAGGGAAATTCATTAGGAAACGTTGCTGCTTTTGGCCGATGAGGGAGGTTTTTCTTCCTAGGAAGATCCTGAGAAAAGATGTTCTCAATTCCGAGTCAGCACTCTTCATTTCTGTACATTTGATCTTAAGCCAGCAAGGCCAGCAGGAAATTTTTTCCCTGAAGGCAAGTGTCTTCCATTGGTCTTTCCTCCAAAATATTTACAATTGCTCAATGAAAATAACAATGGCACAGGGTGAAGTTTAGAGAAA